AAACAAACAACACCATGACTGCCCCTTTAGCAATAATAATCTATGCTTTCCTAGCAACAATACTCTCCTCAATCCTTTTAGCCCTTGCTTACAAATTGTGGTGGGCCCCACTCCATATCCAACACAAACTTGGGTCCCAAGGAATCAAAGGCCCCTCTTACAAGTTCTTGCATGGCTCCACAAAGGAGCTCATGAGCATCAAGAAGATGCAGGGCTCCCAAAAACCCGTCGATTTATCGTCACACGATATTTTTCCCGCAATCTTGCCTCATTTCTACTTGTGGATGAAATTATACGGTACGAATAGTTTTCTTACATTTCGATCGGTGAAATATATTTGTAATGAATATTTTCAAAATCGAGACGCCTGGATTAAGCGTTTTTGTAGTGACCGAATATCTAAATTATTTGTTATCGAACATTCAGGGAACAATTTTCTTCACTGGATTGGTACACAGCCTCACATTGTAGTTACTGAGCCTGATTTGATTAAAGAAATTCTTATCAACAAAGAAGGATTTTACCCAAAGACCAAAATAAGAAGTTTCATGAAGAAATTGTTTGGAGATGGGATTGTTATTACAGAAGGTGACAAATGGTTTAAGCTTAGAAAATTGGCTAATCATGCTTTCCATGGAGACTGTCTCAAGGTATATATATGTTGCTTATTTATGTATGTTTTTTGTAAATTTGTATATATACCATAACAAAGTACAATTGTAGATTAAAAATAGGTATATTAATTTAATTTTCTTGATTAATGGTGTCAATATTCTTGTTTAGGATATGGTTCCAGCCATGATTGCTAGTGTTGAAGCTATGCTAGAAAAATGGAGAAGTTACGATGGTAAAGAAATCGAGGTTTGCAGTGATTTTAAGGTTCTTACATCAGAAGTGATTTCGAGGACAGCTTTCGGAAGCAGTTATGTTGAGGGGAGGAAGATATTCGAAATGCTCTCGAATTTGTACGTCTTGATTTCTAGAAACATGCACACAGTCAGATTTTTCGGCATCGGGTATTGTGTTTCTTACATCTTTTGGCTGTTCGATTCGACTATTTTGATCGTGTACAAATTTGAAAATTGAGCCTGCGAACTTTTTTTTCTTATTTTTTTCATGCAAATTGGTATAGAAACATTTATTGTCAATTTCTAACGATATCAAGGATCGGGAGTACTTCTTGTCGAATTCATCGAAAAATAAGCATTCCAAAAATTTACCGTTTGTGATAATCCAACGGCGAAATCTGATTAACCTAGTTCGGTTAACCAACAAGAATTATCAAATGTGATTACGATTTTTGCAGAAAGCTTTTAAGAACAGAGGACGAAATCGAAGCCGGCAAAATCGAGAAGTTGCTCCACGACTCCATCATGGGAATCGTAAAGAAGAGACAAGACGACGTGAAAACTAACCGAGCCCTCAATTTTGGGAACGATTTTCTCGGTTCACTATTAGAATCCCACCACGAATTGAACCCCAAAAAACAGATATCGGCTGCTGAAATCGTCGACGAATGCAGGACATTCTATTTCGCCGGCCAAGAAACGACCTCCGGTTTACTGTCGTGGAGTGTTCTTCTCCTCGCAATCCACACCGAATGGCAAGAAAAAGCAAGACACGAGGTGCTCGAGCTTTTCGGTCAGGAAAAGCCATACTTGGAAGGCCTTACCCGATTGAAGATAGTAAGCAAACAATTTGGAGATTTAATCCTGTGACTGACTCCAAATTGACATATAGTCAATGGTTGCGTTGATTTTCCAAAACACCATGTATCCGCAAAAAAACCTAACTTTTGGTCTTTCCACTTAAAAAGTCGCCCAATTTGACCGACTACTGAGTTGGATATGTTAGTCGGCTGCCACGTGTATGAAAAGAAAGAAAAATAATATCCACGTTAGCAACCGATCAACATGGACCGACTTTTGCCGATAAAAGGATCAAAAGTCAGGGTTTTGTGCAGTTACATGATGATTTTTAAATTCAACTCGATCACCGGACTATTTCAGACTATTTCTCAAGTGTTAGTTATAGAACTAAATCTCCAATTTTTTCAAACAATCATGAAAAAGAATCGCAACCTTTTTTTGTTTTTTTTCGTAACTTCATAAAATTTTGTTCTGATATAAATAGGTAAACATGATACTGCTTGAAACACTGAGGCTATACAGTCCGGTAACCAGCATGAGTCGAATGACAAAACAAAAGGTCAAATTGGGAAAATATGATCTTCCCGCAAACGTGGAGTTGCACATTCTACCTCATGCAGTGCACAGAAATCCAGAAGTATGGGGGCACGACGCGCATCTTTTCAGACCAGAAAGATTTTCCGAGGGGTTAGCTAAAGCGACCAACGGTAATGTGACAGCCTTCCTAGGATTCGGTTTTGGACCTCGGTTTTGTGTTGGTATGAATTTCGCGAACAACGAGGCCAAAATAGCGTTGTCGATGGTTCTCCAACGCTATAAGTTCACGCTCTCGAAAAATTACGTGCACTCGCCTTTTGTACTTCTCACAGCTCAACCACAGCATGGAGTTCAGATTTTGCTCCAAGCTTTATAAGTGATATTGAGAAGCAGTCAGGAACAGAGATGCAGTTATGTACTCTTTTAGTGTGTACTGTCTGTTAAGAAGATTGATGATAAATGTTATGTATTATTGCAATTACCAATGTCATAAATAAAGATTAAATTATCCCCATATATATAATTCTCGAATGTGTGGTTCGCACACTTTATGCTTTGCCATTTGGCTGAGATAACTTTTAATTTAATTTCAATCCATAAATAAGGTTGCAGACATATGGTTTTTGGATGTTATTTAGATTTATTGTGTAAGAAATGGGGGGAAAATGAGTGCGGTCCCACGAAGATGAAGCGCACCATAAACAGAAAAAGGCCAGATAAATCACAAGTGAGGTTTCATCTCAAAACTAAGCAGATAAAAGGCCAGATAAATCACAAGTGAGATTTCTCTCAAAACTAAGCAGATGAAGCCCAAGTGAGGTTTCATCCCAAAACCAATTGGTAGTAGGAGAAATAACCCATTAGACTTATAAATTAGACCTGTTTTCCCTATATAAACGATGTGAGATAACTCACAAGTGATATTGTAACATGCCCTTCATTTATGAGTCCTTCTTAAGAAAGCCTAAGTGAGGGGGTGTGTTAGAATTTCATTTGTGAGTTGTCCCACATCGTGTTAGAATATCACTTATAAATTAGACCTATTTTTCATATATAAACAATGTGAGACAACTCATAAGTGAATATTCTAATATGAGTCCGTTCATAAGAAGCTCAAGTTCATATATGGAGTCGGGTGCCCAAGCATAGTAGAAACGGGTTGGGTACGACATCGCATGGTCGAACATAGAACTAACTCTAATACCATATAAGAAAAGGGGGGAAAAACGAGTGTAGTCCCACGCAAATGAAGCGTAACAAGACAGAGAAAGCTCAAATGAGATTGTATCACAAAACCAATTGGTGGAAGGAGGAGTAGCCCACTAAAGTTATAAATTAGGCCTGTTTTTTCTATATAAACGATGTGAGACAACTCAAAAATGAATATTATATTATATTGAAGAAAGTGAATTAAAAACTGGACATAAGTTTTTTTTTTTTTTTTTGGTACAATGAACGGAGGTCGTAGCCTAGAAACCCCTAAATAGTAACTTAAATTTATTGAAATATTATAATATATTGAATAAAGTGAATTAAAAACTGGACATAAGTTTTTTTAGATGTAACTTAAATTTATTGAATAAAGTAAATTAAAGTTGAACGAATGGAGTTTGGGATTGGATTTTAAGTTTGTGTCACAAATATAAGTCAAAGTGTAATGATTAAAAGTTGACTTGATATAAAAGTATAAGAGATGCATGTGATTAAATACGGTTGGCAGTTAAAAATATGTGAGTGGATGAAAAATGAATTTGTGGTAGTTAAAAATATGTAAGTGGATGAAAAATGAATTTGTTGATAGTGATTTGAGAAGATAATTGATTTATATATTATTTAATTATATTGATAATATTGAGTGAAATAAATTGACTTGAATTTTGAGTTAAAATTTAAATTCTAAATTGTTTGATGGATTTGAAGTGAATAAAAAATAAATAAAACACACAAAACAAAAAAAAAAAAAAAACTCCTTCACATATTGGAAAAAAAAAATCCAAGAAGCAAAGTTCATTTCCCACTACTCTAAATCTCATCTTCCTCTATAAAACTTCCACTCTCACAGAACTAACTCCAACCATCTTCACATCACATACACACCAAAATCAGTCATTTAATAAGAGATTTTGCAACCATGATTGCCCTTCTTCTCCCAATCTTTATCTTCCTTGCAATATTACTACTAATTATTATTCCCTCATTCACAGTAGCTTACAAGTTATGTTGGGCCCCACTTCATCTCCAACATAAGCTCAGGTCTCAAGGGATAAGAGGACCCTCTTACAAGATCCTCCATGGAAGCTCCAAAGAGATCATCAAATTCAAGAATCATCAAACTCAAAAAGCCCCCATTGATTATTATTTCACTCATGATATTTTCCCATTAATCCAGCCTCACTTGTATTCTTGGATCAAATTATATGGTAATTATTAAATCATTTTTTTTTTTTTTAATTGGTGAAGATGCATATAAATTATATTAATTTTTTTTTGTTTCATGTATTTATTTAGGGAACAATTTTGTACACTGGATGAGTACTCAGCCTTATTTAGTTGTTACTGAGCCTGATTTGATTAAGGAAATACTTAGCAACAGAGAGGGTTTTTATCCAAAGGCCAAAGTAAAAGGTTACTTGAAGAAATTGTTGGGAGATGGGATTGTTAGGGCAGATGGTGAAAAATGGTTTAAGCTTAGGAAATTGGCTAATCATGCTTTCCATGGAGATTGTCTCAAGGTAAATGGCATTAGGGGAAATGCTGCAGTCCCGTTACGGAACCATTCTGTCGGGATTTGTAATCGTTAGATCATCATGTAATCGTCGTGATGAATAGTTGATCTAACGGTTGCAAACCCCGACGGAATGGTTCCATAACGGGTCAGTAGAATCTCCCAATTATTAGATTTTCAAACTTGCCCTGTACCAATTTGTTTAAAAAAAAATTTTTGCTAGTGTTTATAATTAGTTGTGAGTTGAAAAAAGTAGATTTCTTGATTGATATCATTCTTTGTTTAGGATATGGTTCCAGCCATGATTGATAGTGTTGAAGGTATGTTGGATAACTGGAAAAATTATGAGGGCAAAGAAATCGAGGTTTGCGGTGATTTTAAGGTTCTTACATCAGAAGTGATTTCAAGGACAGCTTTTGGAAGCAGTTATATTGAGGGGAGAAAGATATTCAATCTGCTCGGGGATTTGTGCACTTTGATTTCAAAAAACGCGCTTAAGATCAGATTTTTCGGCACTGAGTATGGACTTTCTTGAATTCTTTTGCATTTTCTGCGCTGAATATTGTTAGAGTATCACTTGTGAGTAGTCGCACTAGGAAAAATGGGCCTATTGTTAGAATGTCACTTATGAGAGTTGTGACCCTGTTTTCGGTTTGATTTAGACACTAATTAAAAAAAAAAGCATGTTTATCATTTTTTAACTAGTTATTGAGGTTTCTAAATACCCGACTTCTGATTCGTAACTTAATATTTCTCAGTTCGTTTCACTTAGTCACATTAGTCTATATTTAGCATTATCTTAGCTTTTTGTAAAACCATGTTCAGGAAGTTTGTAAGAACACAGGACGACATTGAAGCCAATCGAGTCGAGAAGCTACTTCACGACTCCATCATGGAAATCGTGAACAAGAGACGGGACGAGGTGAAAACGGGTAGGGCCCAAAATTTCGGGAATGATTTTCTTGGGTCACTCTTGAAATCTCACGATGGTATGGGCTTGGGAAGCCCGATATCGGCTGCTGAAATAATCGACGAATGCAAAACGTTCTATTTTGCCGGGCAAGAAACGACTTACAGTTTATTGTCGTGGAGTGTTTTGCTCCTCGCAATCCACACGGACTGGCAAGAGAAAGCGAGAAATGAGGTGCTCGAGCTTTTCGGACGGGAAAAGCCAAACTCGGAAAGCCTTGCGCGATTGAAGATAGTAAGCTAATTTTGTGAATTGATAAGCAATTTTTTGAAACTATTTTCCCCGCTTCTTAGTTTAATGTGCAATGGACATCAAAATGGTAAGCAAATTTTGTTTATACTGGTAAAAATGCAATTTATGCCTTTTATCTTATGGCTTGTAACTGGAAATATCACGCTCTTGCCCAATTGTACTTACAATTTACCAGTAAATTGAAAGTTACTGTCCTAATTTGATGGCTAAAATCGGTGAAATTCGGTAAATTGGTCCATAATTGCCATAATCTGCAATTTTGCCTTGTTATAGTAACTGTAATGTCAAAAAAGTTGTGTTTCTTTGCGTAGGTGAACATGACTATATACGAAACCCTGAGGCTATACAGTCCCGTGACGTTTATCACTCGAAGGACGGACACAAAGGTCAAATTAGGAAAATACGAAATTCCGCCTAACGTAAACCTGTCGATTCCACCTCTTGCTCTGCACAGAAACTCGGAAATATGGGGGCAAGACGCTCATCTTTTCCGGCCCGAGAGATTTTTCGAGGGTTTAGCTAAAGCGACCAACGGCAATGCGACAGCCTTCCTAGGATTTGGTTTTGGACCTCGGATTTGTGTTGGTATGAATTTCGCGAGTAATGAGGCCAAAATAGCATTGTCGATGATTCTCCAACGCTATAAGTTCACGCTCTCGGGAAATTATGTGCACTCGCCTGATATATTCCTCACAACTCAGCCAAAACATGGAGTTAAGATCTTGCTACAGCCTTTGTAAAATGAGATATAATTAGGTATATGTGGTTGTGAAATCTCTTGGTATTATATAAAAAGAAAGATTTGTGAGAAATATATTATGTAATTGTTGCCTTTCTCAAGTTGAATGTTAGTATAGGTTCTGAATGGCACACCACTACAAAAATATAATGAAATTCCTAACTGAAAATTTTGATAGATATATATTTTAATGTATTCCGATGAAAATTCCGACAAAAATAATTTATTGGAATGAGTTTTTATTAGAATTTCTGTTGGATTATAACGATTCAACGGTAGTTTTTTCAATGGGGGTGGAAATAAAAATTTCAATAGTAATGAAAATTCCTATGGTAAAAATGTGCTGAAAAAGTAGCCGTGAGAATCATCAGATTTGATTCTTAATTAGAAATATGTGAGTGGATGAATAGTAAATTTTGTTGATGTGATTTCAGATTTGTGAGGATAATTGATGTATGTATTATTTAATTATAGTAATAATATGTAAGAGAATTAAATTGAGTCGTATTTCAAGTTAGAAATTAAAAATTTAAAATTAGTTGATGAATTTGAAATGGATTTGATGAGTTAAATCTGGCTTAAATTTATATCCAATTATTTATTCCAGAACCTATGCCCTTATAAGGTGCAAACAGGAAAAAATATTTTTCTTCCTCATAAGATCCAACTTAAAATTACTTTACCCCTCAGCTTCATATAGAGGTGGCCAATTGCCGGGTCGTGACCAGATCCGGCCCGTGACCCGGTGCGGCCCGGCCCGACAGGTCGGCGGGTCTTAAAACCATGGCCCGTGACCGGCCTAAAACTGACCCCGAACTGCCTTTCATCGACCTGGCGGGTTTAGAACGGTTCTAGGCCGGTATGGGCCTTGAAAAAAAAAATAACACCCTGGCCCGTCATTCGACCCACGGCCTGACGGCCCGAACTGAAGGGTAAAAAAATAATGAACCGGCACCGAATCGCGACACTAAGGGTCCAATTCATGTCCATCATTAATTCTAGAAGTCATGCATTGAGAAGTCAAATTTCTCACTTATTATAATAATAACATTGCAATTAAAATATTCAAGAAGCAAAGCTCCATTTCTATAACTCTAAAAATCTCATCTTCCTCTATAAAACTTCCACTCTCACTGAACCATCTTCATCTCACATAAACACCAAAATCAGTCATTTAATAAGAGATTTTGCAACCATGATTACCCTTCTTCTCCCAATCTTTATCTTCCTTGCAATATTAGTACTAATTATTATTCCCTTATTAACAGTAGCTTACAAGTTATGTTGGGCCCCACTTCATCTCCAACATAAGCTCAGGTCTCAAGGGATAAGAGGACCCTCTTACAAGATCCTCCATGGAAGCTCCAAAGAGATCATCAAATTCAAGAATCATCAAACTCAAAAAGCTCCCATTGATTATTATTTGACTCATGATATTTTCCCATTAATCCAGCCTCACTTGTATTCTTGGATCAAATTATATGGTAATTATTAAATCTTCTTCTTCTTGTTTTTTTTTTTTTTTTTT